GAAAGAAACAGTTCACTAGGCGTTCATCACGTGAACTAAAATGGGAGAACAAAATATACAAGATAAAAAGTTACATTACAACTATTGCTTTTAAATACACCTCTTCTATAAAAATAACTTAGTTTTCCTTTATGTACAAAATTTTACAACTAATACAATCCGTTTTCCAGCTAAAATGGCATCAACATATTAGAATCCTGTGACAGAAACCTTTCTCGCATTCACACAATTTTTTGGGTGGCCAATTTCGTATATCGACCCACACATCCAGTTGGTGTCTTTGTTAACAAACAAAGTTTTCCACTCTTTTTAGCCGTTATTTAGACTAAAAACAAACAACAGCAACAAAGCAAAACAACAGTGATGTGTGCGGTTCTTGAAATGCAGAAATCGGGGAAGAAATGTTTAATTTTTTTTTACCATTTTAGTTGCTTAAAACGAATCGACTACGACGTAGTACCCCTCTTGGAGGGACCTAAATTTACACCAGGTGCCGGCACCGTACCGATAGGACCCAGAGGAACAGTCCGGTTCCTGAAAGAAATCAATTTAAAAAATTAACCAGGTGCAAACTTTGTAGCCTGAATTTCAGCCGTCTCAGACTTATGAAATTCAGCCTACCACACTTTTGGTATAAGGCGAAAAATGAGAAATTTCTAACTATTGCGCATGCGCGCTTAAATAAACCTGCAGCCACTGTGTGCCAGTCATGGCAGACCAATGCCTACCACCAACAAAGCCGGTACTAGGCAGGACATCTGGTAGCGTCATTCTCCCATGTAAGGCCTCACTCACAAAGTGCTTAGATATTTAGGATATCTAAAGAGTTATCTTTTGCGCACAGTAAACTCCCGGCTTATCGGAGCAGAATGGCTTTCCATCATATCAATGGCGGATGAAATCGACGAAATATTGAGCCTAGAGGGGTTATCTAATGGAAGAACTATAGTGACTAGAATGGATACACCTAAATCAGTCTGGACACTTCGTGATTATTACTCAACGTAATACTCCTGGTCAAGAACCATTTATTCGGCAAATTTATAGAGGAAGTGTGAAAATCAGAGAGAGCCAATTGAGCAAGAAAACGAGTTGAGGATAGGTTTTTAGCAATGAAGTAGGGTGATTAGTGCAAAGCGCTGTTTAAAAAAAAACAGGTAGTTTTCACTGAAGAACGTATCGATCCATGTAAAGAAAAAGTACGTTAAAAATAATCGGTGTCGCCAGTAAGTATTACCAAACTGACGAGAATTCTACCTGCTGTCTATAACAGTAGTAAAAGTAAGATAGAATATGCTTGCTCTCACCTGGCACATGGTGACATATCATAATAACCACTTTCCATAAGAACATTTTCAATTATATTCTGCAAAATTAGAAGCAAGGTTGAACATCGGTCAATATCAGTTTTCTCAAAACAAAACTTCAAAGGATCTGAAGCTACGTGAAAGGAAGCCACTGGGACACTCAAGTGTCCATCTTAGGGACGTGGTCACGTTATAGCGAGTTGAATATTAGTGCTGAACAAGTATTTCTTTAGAGTTCTTTTACAGTTCTTTTCAGTTATTGTCTAGAATTTTCTATAACTTGAGAACGGCGAAAAATGTCTAGATGAGCGTTCCCCTGAATTGTCCATGCTTACCTAATAAATTCCCTACGATTTTCTGAAGTTTAATTTTTCACATTTCACCGCGCGGGCGAAATGTGATGGAGAAAGAAATCAGTAAAATTCTCACTTTCGTAATACGTTATATTGCATTCAAAATTTTCGGGAATATAATACTGAATCCCTTGTAAAAGAGAGATCTAAAAGTACTCTGGATAGCCTTTAAAAAGTTTTTAATGTATTTAGGAGGAAACCGTCGTTGGGTGCCGCTGATATGTTGGTAGACATTACAGTTACGATCTGTTAATATATCAAGCACTTCCTTACCTGCATCATTTCGTACGTTATTCCGATCTCCTGTGCATCCGCAGTTTCAAGATTTACCCCATTCACTGTTTAAGCGAAACAGCAAAAGGTTAGGATCAACACGCGTGCATTGTGCAACATGATTGCACAAAATTTCAGCGTTCTTCCATTCGCTTTCAAGTGAATACTTTGTCTTACTTCTTTTGATTTGCGCCCTGTGATTTCAGGGGTGGAAATTAACATTTCGGGTGCACATACAGGTTGCTGACTATCACAATTCAGGTTTAAACAAAAGATGTTGAGTACAACAACTCACGTATGCAGATATTGCTGAGTATTACAATCTTTGATGCAGACATAAGTTGAATGCAAATATTCATTTCTTGGAAACACGTTGCTGACCATTACAATTTCAGGTTCAAACAAACCATGTCGACAACTCAGGTTTAGTGACACGACAATAAGCAATCTCAAGTCAGGAAGAGGGATGGGATGTCGGTGTATCAATTTTAAATACAATGATGGATTCAACAATTACCTTGAAGAAGTTGGGAAAAACTTAGTCTACGAGTTAGCTTTCTATTGGGAGATCTCGCGGGAGAAATCTCGCGCGCACTTCGCTTGGCTAGCCCCTTAAAATGGTAAAATTAGCCTGCGTAGCTGGCGGTATTGTGTAGTAGTCGAGTGAGATTTGGCGGCGGAGCCGTTGTAATATAGTCGAGTGAGATTTGACGGCGGAGCCGTCACGAGCGGCGAAGCCGCGAGAAATACCGCCTGCCAGAGAACCATGATTTTTCGAATGCCGCCCACTTTTGTCACGTTAGCTGTTCCCAATTAAATCAGCCAATCAAAGAGAAACCAGTTTAGAAATAAGCGTTGACAGGCTAAACACGACTCCTAAGCTCGTGACAATGTGAAACGTGACCTTGTGAGTTTGCTTGAACAGAGGTTTTTTTTATTTTCTCGGCTCTCGCTCGAAGGTTACTAGCACTACACAGTGCATGTATCATTCTAAACTTTGACTGAGTAAATCTTTTTTTGCAACACTGACTTAAGATTAAAAGGTCATGAAGCTGGTTTGTTACATGCATACTGAGTAACCATTTCCGGTGGTTTATTCTTCTGTAGGTGTCCCTGATAGGATTTGATCTCAGATGCAGTTGTAAAGTGTTTTAATTTTCTTTGACCTTTGTTTCTTACGGCTAAATTAAGACAATTCCAGCGCTGTGAAGTTTAAAGACGCCATTTCGGCAATTTGGTCATCAATTATGCTCTTTCTAAAGCGGAAATCACAATCACTTTACATGTACGTCTTCTCCAGTTTGCCATCTGCTCCCTAAATTGGGAAATATACGCGAAGGCTCATCTAACATGATTGACATATGTATGGCCCTCGACCAATCCGTTTCCCCGCACACTGGTGTGCGGACCATTCAAAATACCGGGGTTTTCTGGCAGGCGGTATTTCAACCGCCTCGTCCCTACTCCTTTTTTTTGGAACACGGCTCCGCCGCCAAAACTTTAATCTCGCACCCACACAATACCGCCAGCTACACAGCTTGCTCGCGGGCTAGAAAAAAGGTTTCCTCCCTCCCACCCCTCCCTTGTCTTACCTAGTTTGTCAGCTGTGTCCTCTAGATGATGCAGGAACAAGGGATCACCAAAACCAAACTTGAGATCGATCACTTCTTGTGAGCCCTCGATCACCTGTAATCATGACACGTGTCCTATTAATTTCGCGCACTTCTTCATCAAATCATAAATTCGAGCAACTTAACCTTCAAGTTAGCCCCAATATCAACAAGTGTTATTACAAAATGGAGTAAGGAGAATTTGTTTCAAAAATCACATCATTCTTTTGGGTGATCACTTTCATTTATTTTCGCGATTTTTGAGTTTGATTTAGCAGTGATATTGTATTTAGTACAAATCAGAAGTTCGTCACAACTTGATCTTAAAAAGCACAAATAGAAAAGTAGTTGCCACTCAGTCAGTTATCAGTAAAATAACCTTTTTGTCGCCCGAACTTTGCAAAGCATTTGCTGGTAACAAAAAAAGGCTTACCTTTTTTACTTCGCTTTTGAGATTGACAAAATAGCTGTTTTGAGGTGAAAATAACGCTCTTTTGAACTGTTCGACGATTCTTCTCTGAGGATTCGGTGATAACGTTGGAGGTAACTGTAAGAGACAAAAATAACAACAATTCGAAGCGTTTAAAATTAAAAAAAACACACACACACACACACACAGGACGTAATGACAATCCGGCAATGTCCGGGTTCGAATTTTCCTCAAAAGCCCGAGTTTAACCCCTCGGTCATGCTTGTAATAGCCAAAGGGTTGCTTCCCGCCAGTTGCGGTTTCTAACCCTGTTACGTTTAGTTGTCTTGCTGTTATTCACGATTTAACTTGCTTGATGGCATAAATTGCGTGAAGTGCCTGTAAACTACAATCTTGGACAGAATGAAATGGACTGAAGAGACCCCCTTCTCGAAAAACACAAAGATCAACCCCGCGAAGGCCAAAACGCATCCTTTTCCCATCCCTGATCAAGGGGAGGAGGGAGGGGGAAGAAAGATTGTGCAAACACTTCCCACGTCTTCGACATTAAATAAATTATTCTACTCTATTCTATTCCAATAATTCCGCCTATTTCGTCCAAGAATGTAACTAGGGCAGCGAAGCGCTGCCACACTATAATACAAAGATTTGCATTATTATTTTAATCAATTAATTTATTAATTTATTATTTTATTATTTTTTAATATATAGTTTCGTTAGAAATCGTTTTTATGTGGACAAATTTCTAACGACTATAAACTTTGTTGAAATCTACTGAGTAGTAACCAAGTAGAATGTTTCTGCGATGCTTTTCCTTTACAAGAGTTGAAGAAAAAGTGTAGAAGAAATATTTCCAGTCTTAAACGTAATGACTATCTGATGACCAGTAAAACGGTTAAAATCAGATTTTTTCCGGACGTTTTATTGTTGAATCGCTTTTCATTTTTGTTTTGCAGTTATCTGTTCTCAGCTCGTTCAATAAATGAAGTGGACATACCTGCGTTATAAAGATAATTTTATGAAGTTGATTGAGGATCTGTGAGATGGGATCAATTATTTGACGAACTTTACGAGGAGATATACTCAGAGTGGCGGCAGCAGTGGCTGAAAATAAAACCATATTATTGCTCAGGAGAATTAAGAAACCTTTGCACCTAATTCTAAAGGAGCATAACCACTGGATCAACTAGGCTACTATTGGGATACCAGTGAGTTTAACACTCAGGCTCACGTAATATCGTCGCCAGGCCCTCGCACGTTGCGCTCGTTCTACTAAGGATTGGTTCATACGAGCAACGCAAGCGCCATAGAAAGCATGTATAGAGCGAGATGACGCAAACACACCGGAAAAAACGTTTGTCTGTCATGTTCCGATACAGGATGCTCATTGAGCATGCGTCTCTCGCTGCTAGTTCATATCGCGAAAGAAAAGTGTTATCTTTGATTGACTATAATGACCATCTGTGTGCACTTAAGTTCTCTTCTGATCCTCGACCTATACACAAGTACTGGTGTGGGGAGGCGGGGAGGAGAAGAAAAGATTGTAGTTCTCTACCCCTCCAAAGACACTGGATAGCATGCGTGTGGTGGTAAAAGCATGACGCTTCACCGCGTGTTTTTGTCTGGCTAATCCCTGAAGCTAGCTAACAACGTGTTAAATTGTTTAGAGGAGAAACTAAACGTACGTGGTCTTGCTTTAAGTTGGCCGCCAGCTTGACGTCTTTGCATCTCAACGGAGGAACTAAAAATCAGCCATAAAAAGAATGACATTTAAAAACACACATTAAATTTACGATTGCAATTCCTCGAGGCAAGGTTTCTAGAATACAATAAGACCGTTTAAACAAGAAGTCCGAGAAAAGGGAAAATTTCTTATTCATGAGCTTTCGTTTGTCTTATAGCAGAGCTATTGTAGCACCTTGCGTTTTGTCACCAATTTTGATGTACAATGTTTAGAGGGAGGCAGCGTGGCCAAGCGATCAGAACGTTGTACTCGCAATCCGGCGGTCCTGGGTACGAGTTCCGCTCTGACCACTTGCTGGACTTGTCCTCGGTCGTCCCGAGTTCAAATCCTTGGCCACGCTTGTAAATAGCCAACTGGTTGCCTCCTGCCAGTTGGGGTTTTTAATCCTGTTATGCCCTGTTTGGACTATTTGTTGCTAATTATTTGAGTTAAGTGTCTGTAAACTAGCTGGATAAGCGAAGTGCACTTTCCAATATGAACAAACCTTTAACCTAACCTTGCCGATAGCAAGAAGACTGCAGACAAACCTGCTTTGTGTCCTTCTGGATGAAATATCACTTAAACCACTCGCTGAAGTCGCGGATGGTGTCACGCCATGCGTCACGCCACCGGTGCTCGTACCATTCGATGTGCCGGCCTTACTGCTGCTAGCAAATTCAACGTGGAGCTGCCTTCGTGGGCCTTTTCGCGGACCCGGAGGCTTGGGTACGGTGAAAACGTGCGAATTAGACGTGGAAGTGTTCGCACTCGTTTTATCGACAATAGTTCTACCATTTGACGCTTTATCTGCGCCTTTAACGCTCTGCGAAGTCTTATCTCTTTCCTTACTGTTACTCGTAAATTTTTCACCTGTTCCTTTACTAGACTTATCAACAACAGGCTTTAACGTTCTCTGACGCCTCGTAGAGCCTGGCGACGAGCTACCGCCTGGTTTTGAGCTGCCATTTTGTTCCCCGTTTAGGGCACTAGAACCCAGGTTCCCATTTGCAAGAATATCCCCAACATCAATCCCTGAGTCCACCTGAGGCGTATACTCCGTCTCTCCATTCTTGTGAACGCCGTTTTTGTTTAAGTTCAGTTCAGCTAAAGCGTTTGCAGCTTCAAACACAGTATCACTGCCTTCTGTGGCGTCCACGGTCCTAAAGCCAGCGGCACCTCCACTACTTGACAAGTTCACCAGTTTGTCGTAGCGTTCTTGTGAAGCATAAAAAAGACGGTGATAGTTTTGCATGTTGCGAGTCGCCTCGATGTAATGTCTGAAATGCAACAAAAGGGGGAGTACCATTACTCAAAATTTGATAAGAGCCTTGTTACTGATATGGTCAGCTCTTACAAAGCGAACTCTTGTTTCGCGAGAGTATCACCAAAACAGGTAGACCGCGAATTCAAAGATACGCGTCACAGTTGATTTTAGCGCCAGACGTTGACGACTTAGGTCACATGGCTTTGTTTGTCAAACCAAAAAGGTGAACTCACGTGGTCACATTCTTTTCTCACTGCTAGAGTTTATACATAGCGTTACAAGGCGGCAACCACCAAAGCGAATTCCTATGATTACCTGCAACACCTTTAGCTGGTCTAGGGAGTGTCCAATAAGCATATAGGTAATCATGCTACTTCAAGTTCAATTAAGGATTAATTTACACGAGTGTGTTTTTCCAAACTTAACAAAATTTTGGTCTCGTGCAATTTAGGCTTGTTGAAAAACACACAAGTGCAACTACATTCCAGTTGAACAAGAAAAGTCGTATGATTGCCCCTTAATAATAAAATGAAAAATTTACCAGTCAAAACTGGTGGAACCTGTTTATAACGGCCACCCACGAGACACTATACTGCCCACTCATACATGTTAAAATTGCGCGTGAGTTGCGACACCTGATAGGTTCTTGTTAATTTCATTTGTTTATTGGCCAGTCACAGTGCTCCATTCTCAGAGATATTTGCATTTCGGTATATTTCCTCGTTTTTGCACTGTGTTATTGCTCTCAGCCAATCGGGTTCAATAAATTATTTTACAGTTTATCGATAGACACTGCATTCGCACACTATGAACTTTAAACCATCACTTACAGGAGTTAAAACAATTCTATGAAAGAACTAATGCCAACCTTTGCGTTCTTTTCCTTTCTCTCTCCAATTTCTTTTCCAAACTGATCTCATTTGATCGCAGCTTGTCCACATAAACCAGCATGATCTCACTGATGTTAGCAGCAACCTAATGAAAAGTAAATAAATACATAAATTTACTAACAATTTTGAACTGGCAGTTTTCAATTAGTTTGCTTCTACGTGTACTAACCATTTTAATTGGGTGAAAACATTCTGGCTAGATTCTCAGAACAACATCACTGTTTTGGTCTACATGGATAACGGTTAACTGTTTTCCTTAAGTTAAAAAAAATAGTGTTTAATAACCACCTTGGTTGTTCATTTAACTGCGAGAATCATGTTCAATTTCATATCTTTATCTGCAGTTCAAAATACCGGTATGATTCATTTCACATATTTCAGTTCAATTATATATTTGCCGTGCAGTCAGTTTGAACATTAAAACTTCTTGCCACTGTAAAGAGAGCTAACGAATAGGTCTCAAACTGATTCGCTTGATTACAGAATGAAAAAGGCTATTTTGATCCTCTCGAAATGACAAATTGGACTACAAAAAGGGACGTTATCAATTCTTACGCCTAACAAGTGCAATGTTTGACACTGCAAAGACTCTGCACAGCATCTTACCTCAACAATATCTGGTCTTTCTTCTGGATTCGGATTGAGACACCTAAATGAAAGAAAGTCAGTCAAGATCATACCCAGAACAGCAAACAAAAACAATCGCTTTACGCAAAACTAAAGATATTTCGTGGACAAGCACACGCCAATACATCTTACCTTGTAACAGTCTCCGACACCTTCCTGGAGTATAGACC